AGAAGAGCAGTGGGCTGGATCTTTCGTGGGGTGGGGACCTGCTTTCAGGGAAGAGCCTTCCCTTGCTGTGGGAGCTGCTCCAGGCAGGTGGGTAAGTGAAGGACCGGGGCTGCCTTTGGCCTTTCCTGGTTCCCTGAGTGCCTGCATTCTCAGCAGCGTGTCTTTGGAGGTTCTCTGCAGTCTGGGAAGCACTAAGCAAGTCTGCCTTCCTTGGCCCTATGTCTCTCTAAGCTCCTTGAAATCTTCCTAGGAAGAAAGCAGGGTCTCGATCCAGAACCTCAGCCCGGCAGCCCTCCTGCCCTTGATGTTCAGCCTACAGCTGGGTTTTTTGCAAACTCGCATAGGTTTCTGAAAAATATGTTTAATGAATTGCCAACGTAAAAAAAATCAAGAAGGTTTTGTTTTTTCGTTTTGTTTTGAGATAGAGTCTCACTCTGTCACCCAGGCTGGAATGCAGTTGCCCCATCTCAGCTCACTGCAACCTCCGCCTCCAGGGCTCAAGCGATTCTCCTGCCCAGCCTCCGGAGTAGCTGGGACTACAGGTGCATGCCACCATGCCCGGCTAATTTTTGTATTTTTAGTAGAGACAGGTTTCACCATGTTGGCCAGAATAGTCTTAATCTCCTGACCTCATGATCTGCCAGCCTTGGCCTCCCAAAGTGCTGGGATTACAGGCATGAGCCACCACGCCCAGCCCTCAAGAAGGTTTTAATCAAAATCTGGGTTTCCCAATTGTATTAGATTGTGAGGACTGCCATAACAAATACTATTAACACAGACTGAGTGGCCTGGACAACAGAAACGTATTGTTGCCAGGTATGGTGGCTCACACCTGCAATCCCAGCACTTTGGGAGGCCAAGATGGGCAGATCATTTGAGCCCAGGAGTTTGAGACCAGCCTGGGCAACATGGCAAAACCCCACCTCTACAAAAAATATGAAAATTAGCTGGCCATGGTGGCACAGGTGGTGAGCGGCAGAGCCGGCATTCTGGCCCAGGTTTGCCTGGTGCTAAAAATCTATGTGCCACCTCACAGCATTATTATAAGTGCTCAAGAAATATTTGAGAAATGCCCTGTGACCTCCTTGTCTTTACCTCTCCAAGAATGGGGCTATATGGAATCTCTCCCTGGCCTCTGTCGCCAGCTTCCCAGAAAGGCAACTTTTATAACCTGAGCTTGGAAGCCCAGGTGGGTGGGTACCCGGGCAGGAAATCCAGCACCCTGGCCAGGCTTGCGGCTCAGAGGAGCTCTTCAGTGGAGGGAGAAGTCCTCTTGGCACTGGATGGGAAGGGGGCTTCTGGCCAAAACTGAGGCTGGCGGGGCAGGCCCTGGGCCCTGGACCCACAGACTTTAGGGAGGAGGTGGGTGGGGCCCTGTGGCTTTGAGGGTGGGTCATTTCCCTTTGGAACGTCATCAGAGCTGTGGAGTCCTGGCAGGGCCCCCAGCTCTCAGGAGGGAGGGGCCCTGAAGGGGCTGCTAGTATAGAATGTGACAGTCACAGAGCCCAAGGGAGTGACTGTGTGGGGATGGGCAGGGGGAGGAAAGCAGGTGGGTGGCAGGGGCCAGGCTGAAGTTTCTGGGGTCTACCTTGTGGCTATTCTCTATAGTCTTTTAAAAATTTAAAAAATTTTAAAAATTATTTTCAAACTCTGCCAAGTCTTGGGACCTATACCCTTGCTGAGTATGTTGTCCACGCCATCATTTTTTGCTATGGTGTGGTCACCAATGGCATGGCCTCTGCAACCAGATAGGCCTGGGTTTAAACTGCCACCTTCAATCAGGAGCTGTGTGACTGGGGGAAAGTTGCTTTCTCTTCTGAGCCTCACTTTTCATGCCTGTAAAATGGGAATGATAGGGCTGGACGTGGTGGCTCATGCTTGTAATCTCAGCACTTTGGGATGCCGAGATGGGCAGATCACGAGGTTAGGAGTTTGAGACCAACACAGTGAAACCCTGTCTCTATTAAAAATACAAAAATTAGTTGGGTGTGGTGGCAGGCGCCTGGAATCCCAGCTACTTGGGAGGCTGAGGCAGGAGAATTGCTTGAACCTGGAAGGCAGAAGTTGCAGTGAGCCGAGATTGTGCCACTGCACTCCAGCCTGGGCAACAGAACTAGAGGCCATCTCAAAAAAAGAAAAAAATGGGATCGAGCATGGTGGCTCATGCCTGTAATCCCATCACTTTGGGAGGCTGAGGCAGGCAGATCACGAGGTCAGGAGATTGAGACCATCCTGGTCAACGTGGTGAAACCTTGTCTTTACTAAAATACTAAAACATTAGCCGGACGTGGTTGCTCGCACCTATAGTCGCAGCTACTTAGGAGGCTGAGGTAGGGGAATCGCTTGAACCTGGGTGGCAGAGGATGGAGGATGCCGTGGGCTGAGATCGTGCCACTGCACTACAGCTTGGGTGACAGAGCAAGACTCTGGGAATGACAGATCCCATTTATGTCTTTTGGGTATTGTGAAGGTTTGTTGAGGCAACTCATGTAGATGTCAGGATGGGGCCTACTGCCAAGACCAGCTCGGTTGTAGAGACCCCCGCCCCAGGTGACACTGAAGGAATTAAGAAAGAGAAACAAAGATAGAGTGCAAAAGTGGGATCGAAGTGGGACCGTCAGGGGTCTGCCGGCATTTCCCGGCTGACAGCCCAGAGCAGACTCTGACCCAGGTATTTATTCTTTGTGAACAAGTGATTATTTTTTTTTTAGATGGAGTCTTGCTCTGTTACCCAGGCTGGAGTGCAGTGGCATAGTCTCAGCTCACTGCAACCTCTGCCTCCTGGGTTCAGGTGATTCTCCTGCCTCAGCCTCCCAAGTAGCTGGGACTACAGGTGCATGCCAGCACGCCTGGCTAATTTTTTTGTATTTTCAGTAGAGACATGGTTTTACCATGTTAGCCAGGATGGTCTCTACTGAAAATACGAAAAAATTAGCCGGGCACATCAGGAGGCTGGCACAGGAGAACAACCCCTCTCCTTTTTTTGGGAGGTAGAAACCCAAGGGGGTAGGTGATGAAGTAGCAGAGAGAAGGAAGTGGAGGGGTGGTAATAGGGGGCTGCTTGGCATTGGTGTAGAGCTGTCAGAGCGTCAGTGTTTTCATTTGTCAAGTACAGGGGCGGGGGCAGCCTGTGCTACAGACGCTGGGAAAGGTGCTTAGATCCAGTGCCTTCCTGGAGCAAATGGCTGTCTTCTTTCAGGTTCACCAGAAGCAGACCCTGACAGCAGGATTGGAGTGCAGGTAGTTGATTTGGGAGATGACCCCAGGGAACACTGGTAGCAGAGTGGGGAAGTGAGGTGGGTAGGGGAGGCAACTTACAAAGAGCATGTTGGGCTGGGTATGGTGGTGCACACCTATAATTCAAGCTACTTGGAAGGTTGAAGTGGGAGGTAACTTGAATCCAGGAGTTTGAGGCTGCAGTAAACTGAGATCATGCCACTGTACTCCAGCCTGGGCGACAGAGTAAGATACTGTCTCAAAAAAAAAAAAAAAAAAAAAAAAATTGTGTCAGCAAGCCGGTTACCAGCATGGGCAACTGGGGCCCAGTCCCGCTGGGGAGCTGGGAGCCCATCTACAGCAGGAGCCCTAAAGTTGTTCCCTGCCCCAAAGGGTGAGAAAGCCAGAGTTATTTATCCACCAACCCCCAGGAAACCCCAGAGGATGTGGGTGTTGGGACCTGGAAGATACACGGCTCAGGCTGTTTTGGAGAAGGATCCCTGTGCTCCTCTTGGCTGGGGTGAAGGATCTGCTTGCCTCTGACAGGGTCATGTGGACTGGGACAGCGATCCCTTTATCAGGACAGGTGGGACCCAGACCAGAAGGGCTGCCACATCCTCTAGGCCCCAGGCTCCCTGGGAACCCCCAATAGATCCTTGGGAGTCAGAATAGACCGACCCTGGGCCAGATGGAGATGGACTTTCTCACCTTCTTTGCAAGTGGGAGTTCAAATGCAGATTTAATATGATTTAGAAAAATAATGGAATGTGATATGTGGGGAAGAAAATTCCACCCAAACTGTGGCTGGGAGCTGGCATGCATGAAGAGCTTCCACACAGCCCTGACTCTCGGCAGCTGTTTGGTAATGGTCACTAACCCTGGTGTAAACACCTTGTGCAAGGTTGTGGCCTGGCCCCTCTGTGTCCCTTTTGGCCTGGCCATTGTCCCTGGCTGCCTCTCTGGGCTGTGAACTGTTCCTACGCCTGTTTGTGCTCTCATGATGAGCAATGCATTTTCCTGGAATGCCTACCCCATCCCTTCCTGCAAGGACACTCGTGTAACTGAAGGGCTCTGGGTACTGGGGCAGGCCTGGGGTCTGAAAGGCCCTGTTATCTGTCCCAAGTGTCCTGACATCAGCGAGGCCAGAAAGACAAGGCAGTCCTGCATTGTCTGAGCGGGATGGTGCTTTGGTGATAAGGCCCGACACTCCAGAGGCCAGGGAACAGCAGTGACGACATCACCCACAGACAACGTGGTCTGAGTACCTACCATGTACCTGGAACTGTTCTCTCATTTACTCCTCACCAAAGCCCTCCAAGGCAGAGACAATGTCTGTCCCCATTTTAAGAAGGAAACTGAGGCCCACAGTGAGGAAACCACATCCCAGAGTCAAAGAGGCATGAAGAGGCCAGGCCAGAGCTCCCAGCCTAGTTCATCTGCCCCCAGATCCACACTGTTCGGAGAGTCCTCTGCCCACCACACTGCCAAGATCAACAAAATATATGTCCCCACCCTAAAAGCCATCCCACCAAAGACGGTCTTGAGGCCGACATAGAAGGCAGGAGGAAAGAGCTGGCTCCCTGATTCCTGAAGCCTGGAGAGGCAGTCAAGACCGCAGACATCATCTGCAGGCGGCCTGATGTGGTCCAGACAGCTCAGACATCACTCAGATTGGCTCAGATGTACTTGAATGTGACCTGGATGTGGCTCAGCCATCCAGTCCCCAAGCCTGCCAGGGGCAAAATGACTCCAGCGCCAGGACAAAGAAACTCCAGACTGCGGGCATCACAGGCAAATGTTTATTGATTGCAGAGAGGGCTGGTCTTCAGAGAGGGCTTGTCTACAGAGCTCGGACACACACTCCCAGCTGGGACCCAGCCTGCCCTGATGGCCAGTATCCGAGTCTTCACTGGGAGACAGGAGAGCTGGGTTTCCACAAGGAGGCTGGGGTAAGCACAAGGGCATCCTGGAATTGGAGGGGAAAAGTCAGAAAACAGGTTTCTTTAATCTCTTGCCTTGTGGTTTATGCTGGTTTTGTCCTCCACAAGGTGACTGCTGGCATTGGGGAACCATGACCCTGAACCCACAAATACAGAATTCTTGGAAGGGTCAGGGATGAACATTAATGCCATGTCAGGTCCTGATGTCATCTCCATTTTGCAGACGGGGACACTAAGATTAAAGATGGCAAGCCCCGGCCGGGCGCGGTGGCTCAAGCCTGTAATCCCAGCACTTTGGGAGGCCGAGGCGGGTGGATCACGAGGTCAAGAGATCGAGACCATCCTGGTCAACATGGTGAAACCCCGTCTCAACTAAACATGCAAAAAATTAGCTGGGCATGGTGGCGCGTGCCTGTAATCCCAGCTACTCAGGAGGCTGAGGCAGGAGAATTGCCTGAACCCAGGAGGCGGAGGTTGCGGTGAGCCGAGATCGCGCCATTGCACTCCAGCCTGGGTAACAAGAGCGAAAACTCCGTCTCAAAAAAAAAAAAAAAGATGGCAAGCCCCTTTCCAGAGTCACGCACTCAGTAGGTGGCAGGAGTGGGATTTGTGCTCAGCACCTGCCTTGATTACCCCCTGCTTTGGGCCCATCCTCTGCATGAGCTAATGACAGGAGGGTGCCCATCTCAGTCAGCAGGCATTTACTAAGCATCTACTGTGTGCAGCCATTAAGTACAATGGGGAGCAGCGCAGATGGAAACCCCTGTCTTCTTGGAGTTTGGGCTCCACTCTAGAGGGGGAGAGATGCCCCGGAGCCTGGCACACAGTGATGTGGCCTGTCTTCTTAAGGGTCATATTTGAGAGCGAGGGTGACACTGCCATAGCTCCTCTCCCCAGCAGATGCCATGGAAAGTCATTTGCTCACCAAGCATTTATTGAGTACCTACTGTGTGCCAGGCCTTATTGAACACGGGGGACAGAGGCATGGACAAGATGGACATGATCATGGCCTTGAGCTGAGACCATGTGGCCACATGGCATGTGTGTGCGTGTGTGTATGTGTGTGTGTATATGTGTGTGTGTATGTGTGTGTGTATGTGTATCTGTGTGTATGTGTGTATGTAGGTGTATATAGGTGTATATGTGCAAGTGTCTGTGTGTGTGTGCATCTCAGGCCTATGCGGTACCTGCCCTGGATGCTGCCTCAGTTCCTAGCCTCCTTCCCCATCTTTCCTGGAACACCACCAATCCCTGCCTCAGGGCCTTTGCACTGGACATCTGATATGGTTTGGATCTGTGTCCCTACCCAATTCTCATGTAGAACTGTGGCACTCAATGCTGGACGTGGGGCCTAGTGGAGCCTGCACAACCGTGAGCCAATTAAACCTCTTTATGAATTACCCAGTCTCAGGTATTTCTTTTGTTTCTTTTCTTTTTCTTTCTTTTTTTTTTTTTTTTTTTGAGACAGAGTCTTGCTCTATTGCCCAGGCTGGAGTGCAGTGGTGTGATCTTGGCTCACTGCAACCTCTGCCTCCAGGGTTCAAGTGATTCTCTTGCTCAGCCTCCTGAGTACTGGAATTACAGATTCCCGCCACCATGCCTGTAATCCCAGCTGCTTGGGAAGCTAATTTTTGTATTTTTAGTAGACATTGGGTTTTGCCATGTTGGCCAGGCTGGTCTCGAACTCCTGACCTCAGGTGATTTGCCAGCCTCAGCCTCCCAAAGTGCTGGGATTACAGGTGTGAGCCATTGCACCTGGCCTCGGGTATTTCTTAAAGCAGTGCAAGAACGGCCTAATATTCTGTCCCTCTGACAAGACACTCCTTCCAGCTACCCACAGGGCTCACCCCTCACCTCCTTAGGCATTGGCTCAAATGCTGCCTCCTCAGAGAGGCCCTCCCTGACCCCCTGTCTGAAACAGCAGCTCTTCCCTGACATCGCTCTCTCCTCCTGAGCCTGCTTTATTTTTCTTCTCGGCCTTCCTCCTATATATCTGTGTCTTCTGCTAGAAGGTAGGCTCGACAAAGATGGGGGTGTTTTCCGTTTGTTCATTTCAGTGGCCTCAAGCACTCAGAGGCATGCCTTCCGTATAGAAGACCCTCAAAAAATATTTACTGAATTACTGACTGAATGAATGAATGAATGACAAGGGGTGGAAAAAGTGTATTGACCCCAGGCTAGGAGAGTCCCATCCTCAGCACAGCCAACCTTGTCACTTGCAGATGAGGAGGTGAGGCCCTGAGACGGGAAGGGACTTGCCCAGGTCACCTACAGGCTGGGATTGGAGCACAGGCCCCGCCTCCCGGCCAGGGCTCTCAGTGGTGGCTGTGCCCTCCCTGGGGCAGGATATCTAGGCCCACACCCCACTCACCTGGGTCAGCGAGGACTCAGCTGCCTCAAATCCCAAGGCCTTCACCATCGACACTGGGACCCCGGATCTTAATTTGCCTGAAATAGCAAACATGGTCAGAAACTGGTGGGCCTGGAGTGAGACTGGGCAGCCAGGGGGCAAGCTCAGGGTTCCTGAAGGGGAGCCCGGGCCTGGCAGGCCTGATCAGACAGCCCCCTCTGCCTCTGCTCGCCTGTTCTCTGGCCCCAGCATCGACCCAGCCTCATTTACCCTGGCTTTGCCCCTGGCACTGGCTTCTGGCCCCTCGCAAAATGCAGTCCTCACATTCTCTCACACTGTTGCTCAAGAACCATCAGGGCTTCCCATCATCCCCAGCAGAGGTTTCTATACTTTGAGATTTTCTAGTCTAATAAAATAAGGAAATTTAAAAGGTGGAGCTGCTGTAGGTTACCAACTCTTCCCACCTCCACAACCCAGGGCTGAATTAGAGTGATTTCACCTTCTCTCTGCTTCTGCCAGTAACACAAGTAACATGCCAAGGACGGCAGTGGCTAAGAAATGTTAAGCACTGACTGTGCCAGGCACCCCCTGATTTGTGCTCTAAAGAAGGTACTCCTATGTCCCCATTTTACAGATGGAGAAACTGAGGTTCAGAAGTATCGTGCAGCTCAACCAACACCAGGCACCAGCAAGAGGGGGAACAGGCCTTGAACCCAGGTCTGCTGTGGTATCTCCTGTGTGCTCTTGTTGTCTGCTTACACCTCTGCCTCCTTCCAGCCCTGTGAGGCTGGGCCACTGCAGGCTCATCTTTGCAAGCCTAGCCTTTGGCATTAGCAAAGGAATTGGGCTGGGAGGACAGACGGGGGAGAAGTCACTTCCAGCTGGGTGAGTGAGAAGGCTCCTGGGAGGAGGCGGATTTGGAAGTAGGCTCTGAGGGGTGGCTGGGAGATGAATGAAAGGGGCCCCATTCATGGAAATGAGGGCAGGGCAGTAGAGCCAGGCCCTGGAGAGAGGGGCACAGATGGCAGAGGTACACACCATTCTGGTTCGGCACCAGGACAGAGAGGAGGATGTCTGTGATGATGTTTTTCAGAACGTCAGGCTGTGAGAGAGAGAAGGGGCACTGTCACCCTGGCTGAGGACCCGAAGTTCCCACCTGTCCCGGTCATTCATTCCGCGTGGGCATGGCTCCTCCCCATGGGCGAGGGTGGCTGGTGGAGATGCAGGAATTCCAGGTCCCCTGCTGGTCAGAGCTGTGGGGGCTCCCAGGGACCAGAGGGCTGGGGTGGGGCATGAACTGAGCCGCCCCTGGGGCCTGGTAGGTGGGGAGGTTGGGATGCATTAGAGAATGCCCCATCCTCAGGGGCCCCACCGCTCTGCTGCAGCTGAATTTGCCCTGAGGGAATGTTGCCCTGCGTTGCCTGAGCTCCTGGCTTCTGAAGGGAAGCCGGAAGCCATGATTTGCAGATGGAACTCCTCCTGTTTTAAATTATTAGTCAAAAATGTTGAAAAACAACTCAGAAAAAACGAGAAAACACGCCAGACTGAGGTCTTGGGTTCAGTCTGACTCCCAGCAGGAAGGGGCTATCTAGGATACTGAGGCGCGTCTGCGTGCACAGAATGAGATTGTGAGTCAAGGACACTTGTTTTCTAACTCAGGATCAAACTTCACCGAAAGAAAGTGTGTAGGCCGGGTGCAGTGGCTCATGCCTGTAATCCCAGCACTTTGGGAGGCCAAGGCAGGCAGATCACGAGGTCAGGAATTCAAGACCAGCCTGACCAACATGGTGAAAACCTGTCTCTACTAAAAATACAAAAATTAGCTGGGTGTGGTGGTGTCTGCCTATAATCCCAGCTATTCGGGGTGCTGAGGCAGGAGAATCACTTAAACCCAGGAGGCAGAGGTTGTAGTGAGCCGAGATTGTGCCATTGCACTGCACTCCAGCTGGGAGACAGAGTGAGACTCTGTCTCAAAAAAAAAAAAAAAAAAAAAAAAAGAAAAAAAAGAAAAGAAAAAGAAAAAAGAAAAAAAGAAAAGAAGAAAAAGAAAGTGTGTATCTGTGAGTGGAAGTGTGTGTGTACGTGCTCTCAGCTATGTCTGACACACAGTGGGTTCTCTGTAAACGCTCGAGCTGGGAATTTGAACTTGTGTGGAGCCCGGACAGCCCCCATGGTGCTTCTGTGGGGACCTTTTTCCAAGCAAATTCTGGGCAATGTCTCTTTTGAGAGTGGACCATTCCAGGCCATCCTTGGTGCCCTCAGGACCACCTGTTAACACTTACTTGGAACCAGCCAATCCGAGAGTTCATCAGCTTAATCCGATCAGCACTGCAATGGAAGATGCCTATGAGAGTGGCCCCTGGAGTCCCACTCATTCACCATCCATTCATTCAACAGCGATTTACCGAGCACCTATTATGTGCCAGGCACAGTGCAGGCTCTAGTGATATTGCTGTGAACCACATGAAGTCCTTGCCTCGTGGAGCTTGCACTCTAACGGCAGTGGTGGGGCGGGGTGGCATGGTGGGGACACAGAAAACAAATAGCAGTCCCAGGAGCAGAAAAATCAACCTCAGGAGTCAGGGCTGTGGTGGACGAGGAAGCCCGAGCCCCTTCAAAGGGTGCCCCAATTCCCGGCTCGACAGTTTGTTGCTATGTAGGATTGTGGGCACAGGGCAGCTAGGTAGTCTGATTTGAAATGTTCACAACTCATTTATATTAAAAAGTCCAGCCCTGTGTGGGCCGATCGAAACAGCCCTGGGCCTGACTTGTCCCCAGGGGCTCCAGCTTGCAGCCCTGCACTCACTCTGGGGCCACAGGAAAGGGGTGAGATGGGAGAACAGGCGGGGTGCAGAAGGCAAGTGGAGCTGTGCACTTCGGTGCTGGGTGACGGTTACCGCCATGGCCTGGGAGGTGCCCAGAGGGGGCTGCCCTTGGCCTGGGGTTTGCCTGCGCTGTGGCTGCTGCAGAGCCCTCTTCGTTTTCTACCCCATTCCCTCTCAGTCTTTGTCAGCAGGAGCGTCCAGGAAGGACATCCCTGCCTGCCCTGAGCAGCCTTCACCTGACAGCCACACAGAGGGTGTCTAAAGAAACCATGGTCACCAGGCGGGACTCATTTCCATCAGCAGAGTCTTCACAACGATTGGTGTGTTTACCTGATGTTATTCAAGTTGAGTATTAGTCGGTCGTCTTTGGTGTAAAACTGAGCCTCGGAGCTGGCTTCCTGTAACGAGAGAAGCCCAGACCCCATTGCTCTAAAGAGGATCTGAGTGTGGAGTTAGTGGTTCTGCAGGGAGGCTCTGGGGCCTGAATCTCAGTTCCTGGCTCTGTGACCTTGACAAAGGGCTTGACCTCCCTGGGCCTTACTTTCGTCATTTATTAAATGAGATAGTACTTGTACCCACTTCCCATTTAGCAGATGACAATCTAGGCTTGTTGTGGGGGATGATGATGATGACGATGATGATGACAGCAGCAGCCACTAGGCATGGAGCTCTTCCTGTGTGTCAGGTAGTGGTTTCAGAGCTGAGATCATCGTCTCCTTGATACTCACAACCCCGTGAGGTGGGTCCTTGTAGAGGTGAGGAAGCAGAAAGCCGAAGAGAGCCAGCAGGCCCCTGGTAAATGCTGACCACTGTTACTACTACTGGAAAGGTGTAAGCCACGCCAGCTCCCAAATACACGGGCTCCAGAGACATATCAACTTGACCTCTGTGCTGGGTGACCCTCAAGGCAGTGAGCTGGGTCCAGTTCCAGGTCAGCTGCACCCAGGGAACAGACTCACCTGGCTGGCCTGGGCTCAGCAGGCCAGAGTGCCTGCCCGGGTCATGGAAGGGCCAGGCCATGGTGCAGTGGGGCTGGCCTGGGCAGTCCACTCCTACCGCAACTTGGGTGGTAGGCTGAGGGTCAGGATGCCCTTCCATATAGAGAGCAGGGCACCATGCCAACAACCCCAGAAGGCACCATTTGTGAAAGGCATCCCAAAATTGTGTGGTGAGCAACCTGCCCAGCTGCACACAGCGACCCTGCTGTAATTAGCTTCCCACTCTCTACAGCTACTGTCCTGACTCTTTGGTTAAGCCTGGATGGCCTTTTTTTTTGAGTCAGGGTCTTGCGCCATCACCCAGGCTGGAGTGCAGTGGGGCAATCATGGCTCACTGCAGCCTCAAACTCCTAGACTCAAATGACCCTCCCACATCAGGTAGCTGGGGTTACATGCAGGAGTCACTGTGCCCAGCCAATTAAAAAAATTTTTTTGTAGAGACAGGGTCTCACTATGTTGCCCAGGCTGGTCTTGAATCCTGGTCTCAACGGATCCTCCCGCCTTGACCTCCCAAAGTGCTGGGATTACAGGTGTGAGCCTCCACGCCTGGCCTGTGAATGGCCTTACTTATCCAGCACCCAGTCATGCACCGTGCCTCATGTCCTCTCCTTTGCCCTCTGTAGAGGATGCAGCTGGTTCCCTGCTCGGAGCCCCTTCCCTTCCCTGGTGGGTATTGCCTCCGCCAGCTCATGGCTGCCCCTTCTCTGCAGAATTGCCCTTGCACCAGTGGAGCCACCCTGCTAGGGGGCAATGCTCCTCCTATTCCTGGGGGCTGTTGGTGGCCGGTGACTGATTGACATGGGACTGCCTGATGCAAGTGGGGCTTGCTTGGTTAATGCGGGCGCAGCGCGGTGCCATCCATGCTCCAGGGCTCTTGTAGGATTGAGCCAGAGTGCGGCCCTGGCTGAGATGGCATCTTTGCTCCCCGCTTCCCCTGCCCCATCCTGCTTTCTTCACGGCTCCTCTCCCAAGACCTCTCCCCCAGTAAATCCTCCTACAAGGATGTCTGTCTCAGGCTCTGCTTCTAGGATCCTTGTCTAAGATACCCTCCTACCAGGCTTGTCATTGACTGACCCCCACCCCATTCCTCCACCCCCAAGGTTCCCCACACATGGAAGCTAACTGAGATCCAAGCTGCTGGGGTTATGGAGAAAATCAGCTAAGAACTTCCTTGGAGATGACTTAGTTCTGCTGATGCTTCAGAAGAGGACTTGCCCCTCCCCATCTCTGTGGTTGCATGGAGCCCCCACTCCTCTTACTCAGTGTGTATATGGCCCAGCTCAGGAAGTTTTCATGTTCCATTTTTCTGGACACAACGATTGGCTCAAGAATGGGCAGCTGACTCAGGCTCATTCAATGAGAGTCAGCCCTGAGATGTTTGCTGGGGCTATGGAAAGATAGGTTCTTCCTGCTAGGGTTGCCAAGCTGGTAGGATATGAGCCTGATGCAGCCTGGGGCACTCCTGTGAGGGAACAGCTTGCCTGAGGTTCAAGGCAGCACAGAGGAAAACAAGGCTGCTAGGTGGGAGAGAGGAGAATGAAGAGGATATTGTTTGAGCACCTGGATCCAGCTGTTCCTGAAGCCAATAACATCTAGACTTTTTAGTTATAGGAGCTAATACAATTCCTTTTGTGCATAGGAGTTGAGTTTCTGCCCAGAGATCCCTGACTAATAAAGTTACAGGGTTAGAATTGGGTCCCCAAAGCTCCTGGCTCTTGGTTCAGAGCCCCCTGTCCCCTGTCCCTGTTAAGTGATGAGAGTGGTGGAAATGTTTGACAAAGCAAGAGGGTGAACAGGGGAAGTGGACAGAAGGGTCTCCCTGGTTGCTGCCAATATCGCAGATGACTGAACTCACGATGCCCACGGTGAACAGAGGGCGGAGGGCTTCATTGGAGGGAAACACTTCCAGCACAATCAGCTGGGCCACCTTGGCACGGCCTTGGTCCATAAAAAACTGTGGAGTGTCCTGAGTTAGGATCTTCACGATCTGGGTGGGCTCCAGAGAATCTGCAGCCTGGAAGGACATGAGACCCATATGTGGCCTCCCAAATGCCCACAATGGCCCACAGGCCCCATGTGGCCTGGCTCCTGCCCGCCTTCCTGGCCTCCCTGCTCCCTCTCGTGCTCCAGCCACCCTGTCCTTCTTGCAGTCTTTGGTCTCCTGTTCCCTCTGTCTGGCATACCCTTCCCTTCAGGGAGGCCTCCCTGATGGCCCAGACTATATCAGGGGCCCACAAATTTGTTTCTATCAGAACACCCTTTGATATAGAGAAGGGTTCTAATGGCCCCTAGAACCTGTCCTGAGTTACTGCACCTGTAATGGAAAGACTATCCATATGCTGATTTGCTTCAGGTCAAACTGGCCTGCCAGACAGAAAGCTCTGTGAGGACAGGGATGTGGTTTGAGTGTCCCAGTGCTGGAATGAAACACTAATTCCACACAGATTCTCCCTTGCAGAAGCCTGTGTCCAGACCATAGCAAACACCCTCGAGCTGCGGATGGCAAACAGACCAACCTTTGCATTGATCAGCCCAATGCTTGACTTCAGCCGACGGGCGATCTCAGGAAGCTGAGGGTGAGAGGAGACAGGGAAGGTCAGCTGGAGGGCACAGGGAGGCATGTCTCCTGTACCCCAGTGCTGGGAGGAAGGTTTTCCAGCACCCCAGAAAAGCTGGGTGGGCCCAGTGACCCAGGCCATGTGTCTGTCATTGGTGGAAAAATAGCCCCTAGGTCAGCTTCTGTGGGACATGGGGTCCTGCTGGCCTGGACTTTTACTGTGGGCTGGTGATGGCTGTGGGTCTGTGGGCAGCTTCCTGATCTCAGAGGATGTTAAGAGGTGATTTCATTCTTACTGCAATCATGAATGTGCTAGCTGGTGACCACGCCCCATTTTCTCACCATCCCAGTCCCAAGAGCTTGGTTATCGGTTGTCTGTCAGCTGACCTGAAGTCCTGCCATCCTCCCATAACGTTGGACCAACCCTTTTCCCCCTCTGGACCTCAATTTCCCTGTCAGTCATCGGGAGGAGGTGGCACGATATAGCTGACTGGTGGTGGTTATCTGCTGTGCCCTGTTAACAAGGATTCCAAGGTTGTGTCAGCATCCAGACTCAATAGGAAGGAGAGCCCTGATCGATTAGCGATGTCTGCCATGAGTGCCATAGTGGTGAGTAGTGGGACAGTTGCCATCCCTGCACCACTCAGTATCTGAGATGTATTTACCATCCCTGGACTACTCCGTATCTGAGATGTATTTATCACCTCTGGACGACTGCATATCTAAGATGCCCTTTGATTCCACAGGACTGTTATTTGGTAGAGGAAAAGGTGCATCAGATTCCAGGGAGCAGAACCATGACTGGGGCTGGATGTTACAGGGAGGATTCCCGCTTAGCAGCACTCTGTGTTCAGGAAATTCCTATGATGCAGCCTGGGCGGTCCTATTCTCTGTCTTGTGCTGAGGCTTACCACAGAGTCCAACAGGACCATAAATTCTTCTGGAGGGAGCACAGCAGCCACTGTAGCTTTCACTACGTCCTGACTCACGATGAGGCTGAACTGAGTGTTGTCCAGGGTGGGCACTGTCAGCGAAGTTGCAGAGTTATTGAACCATTTGGTCACTTTTCCCTGTGAGTCCAACAACTTGGCCTGAGGAGACAGAGCAGGAAGTGGGCTGAGAATTTTAACTTACAGCCTACCCAGTAACAACCTACAAGGACATGACACCATTTGGCCCCTTTTCTTTCTTTGCATTTGTTGCCAGGAAGCTTAGCCTGGAACACAGGTGCCTGGAAACATCTACTCCATCTTTGCCCCTTGGATAATCTCTGATTTTTATTTTTTAAACTAGATATCTAAGTTTTTTTCCCATGCTTCAACTTCTCAGATACCTCAACCCTTTGGATGAACAGAAAATTCAAAACTGCAATAAAATGGATGAAACTATTTGATGCCACCATTTTCCTAAGGATCCGTATAAACTAATCCGGGGGCTGGGTGTGGTGGTTCATGCTTGTAATCTTAGCACTTTGGGAGGCTGAGGTGGGAGGATCACTTGAGCCCAGGAGTTCGAGACCAGCCTGGGCAACATCGTGGAACCTCATCTCTACAAAAAATATGAAAAATTAGCCGGGTGTGGTGGTGGGTGCCTGCAGTCCCAGCTACTCAGGAGGCTGAGGTGAGAGGATCACTTGAGCCCAGGAGGTCAAGGCTGCAGTGAGCTGTGACAGCACCACTGCACTCTAACCTGGGTGACAGAGGGAGACTCAGTCGCAAAAGCTGTTGTGGTGGCTTACGCCTGCAATCCCAGCACTTTGGGAGGCCGAGGTGGGCAGATCACAAGGTCAAGAGTTCGAGACCAGCCTGGTCAACATGGTGAAACCCTATCTCTACTAATGATACAAAAAATTAGCCACATGTGGTGGTACACACCTGCAATCCCAGCTGCTTGGGATGCTGAGGCAGGAGAATCTCTTGAACCCGGGAGGCAGAGGTTGCAGTGAGCCAAGATTGCGCCACTGCACTCCAGCCTGGGCAACAGGGCAAGATTCTGTCTCAAAAACAAAACCAAAACAAAACAAAACCCCCAAAAACCCAAACCTGGTCTGAGATTCATGATGCCAGCATGGTCTGGCCCTTTGGGGCATCCAGCCACCGCATGGGTGTGCGGCTCCACATGGTACAGGGAGCTGACAGTTACTGGACAGTTCCTGTCTGCTGGGCACTCTGTGGTCTCATTTCATCCTCTCCTCAGTGACCATTATGATTAGCATTTTGCAGACAAGCAAACTGAGGCTCAAGAGGTGAAGGAACTTGCCCAAAGTCACACAGCCAGGGAGTCACAGAGCTGGGAAAGAAACTTAGATCTCTGTTTCTTGATCCTTGGCTTTTGTTTCAAGGTTGTCAGGTTTGGGGACTGGCAGAGACTTGCCTGAGAGAACGGCCGAGAGTCCTGTGTGCACACTCGGGCCCCAGAGCGGGGAAATTGGGGGTGGAAGGCAGATCCGCGGGGTGGGTGTTCTTTGGCTTTTGGGTTCTACTGGCTGGCTTTTCTCTCTTAGCATGGCTTGCCTAAGGGGGACGTGTTCAGCCTGCAGTGATTTTTCTAGCTCTCAGCCCGTGTGTCCCAACAGTGACCAGGATTTTCTCTAATATGGGTCCATGCTGTCTGACTCCTGGTGGTCAGGGAAGGGCAGCGATGTCCCCACTTCACTCTCGAGGTCCTGGGACACTCACCCCCAGGTAGAGCTGAATGGTGTCGCCCTTGATGGCAGGAGACAGAAGGTCAAACTGCAGATGGTCAGTGCTGAGGGCAATGGGCACTGCTCAGGGATGAGAAGAAAGTTCTGTGAGGATGGAGGACGGTATTGGAGGAGCAGTGGGGGTCTGCTTCCAGGTGGAGTTGTACCGATGCACGGGGGACAGGGAGGAGCAGGCAGTGATGATGTTGATAATAATGATACAAACAATGATGCCAGTGACCGGCACTGATGGAGCATCCGCCACGTGCCAGGCCTGTGCTGAGCCTCTGCATGTGTCAGCTCGTTCATCTGCGTGATAACCTTAGGAGGTAGGCCCCATGATGACTGCCTTTTACAGATGGGGAAACCAAGGCTGAGGAAAGCGAATTGACCTGTTCACAGCCACACGAGGAGAGCATGTGAACCCAGTCGGCTTTATGCCGAAGTCCCGGTTTGGAACGAAACTCAACTATTGCTTGTAATGCTCCACCGCCCGCCACCAGACGGAAAGCCGCGCCCCCCACTCAGGAGGTTCTGGGTCTGGACACCCTGTGAGCACCCGGATCTCAAGGAAGCTTAGCTTGGAACTCAGATGCCTGGTAACATCTACGCCGAAATCCAATGTGCTCCTCTACTCCCCCAAAGATCTCCTGTTCGCGTCAGAATTCCCCACTTGGCCGCCAGGTGGCGGTGGCCTGTCACCTGCCCCGGTGTATGGCCGAGGATGGGGAGCTTCCTGCTCCAGGTAGACCTCCGGGCCCACCCTCAGGGCAGCAGAGGAGCCAGCTGGACTTTGGTTTGAGCCTCAGTGACCTTGGCTAGTCTCTGCTTTTCTCTGAATCTGTTTCCTCATCTTAAAATGAGGGTATAATGCCCTCTGGGGCAGCAGCTGTACTAAAATTGGAATGACACAGAGAAGATGAACATGACTCCTGTAAAAATTATTTTAAAGAAAGAAAAAGAAAAAAGGAAAGAAGCAGTAGAATAGTAATTCCTGCCTCATGTGTAGAACTGGCACCTTGTAATGGCCCAGTCTGGGCCACACCCACTCAGAACTCAAGTCTTCCCCATTCCCAACTGCCTCTGTGAGCCTGGACGATGACTTAATTGCTTGGACCCTGTTTCATCAGAGTGAAGCGGGGTCATGACTGCTATCTCATGGAGCTGTCTGAGGAGTCAGTGAGACGGTGCCTGTAAACACCCAGCAGGAGGGCTTGGCTCATGGCAGATGCCCTGTGGGTGCTCAGTGCACGCTCATGCCATTCTCCTCTCCCTTTTCCTCTCTGGTCGCCCTTGGAATAAGCCTCTTCTGATCCCAAACAGCGGTTGGTAGGCTTTTCTTCTTCCCTGCCAATTTCCACTCTGGGGGCCTGGGCAGAAGGCTGGGTCCTCCCACGCCTGCTACTCTGGGGGAGGGAGAAATGATCTCCTTCCATCTTCCCCCTTCAAATCATCTCTGATTTTTATTTTTAAAACCAGATATCTCAGTTTTTAACCCATGCTTTAAATTCTCAGACTCCTCAAACCCTGGATGGAGGGAAAATTCAACACTGCAGTGAAATGGATAAAACCATTTGAGGTTGCAGTTTTCCACAGGATCCATAAAAACTAGCCTGGGGGCTGCATTTGTGGCTCATGCTTGTAGTCTTAGCACCTTCCATCTGTCCATCCATCCATCCATGCATCCATTTAGCATGCATTTGCAAGTGCTTCTCTGTGCCAGGCGCAACACCTGCTATGTGCCCGGGACTTTCCTGTAGACTTTTATTCTGCACTAACAATCCTATGACATAGCGATGGTTAAACCCCATATGATAGATGAGGGAACCGAGGATGAGGAGGTAAAGTAGCTTTCCCAAAGTCATAGAGCAAGTCAGGGGCAGAGCTGGGATTTGAACTTGGGGTATGCATTGGCCTGACAACTGTACACATAGTAGGAGCTCATAAAGTCCTAGTCATGGCAACTTTCTGTCTGTGCATCTTGGGCAGGAATCAATGGTTGCTTGTCTCACCTGCTGCTGGGCCCGAGTTGCAGCTCTGGCCTGACTTGGGGAGCCCTCCCCTTGGTGGAGTCAGGGTCTGGAGGCCAGCTCCATTATAAAGGAATAGGCGGGAGAGAGAGCAGAGCACCTACCTTTCACCAGCTGTAGGAGGTCTGCATACATGTCATTGAAGGAAGTCTCGATCACGGGACACAGCTGCAGCAGCATAAATGAGGGGCTCCATGAGGGAGGGGCCAGGATGCAGCCATACGGCAACCTGTGCCCGGCCCACCCAGCCTGAGTTCTGCTGCTGTGCCCATGGCCACCTAGGTTCCATCCATGGGTTGAGGACTCATTGGTGTGTCTACTCCAGGCTGCAGGACCATCTGGGACTTTTTGCTATGGCTGTGCCCCAGGTGTGCTTGGCCTGCCATCAGCCCTCCCTCTCTGACTCCTTGTCTTGCTGGGTGCAATGACTCATGCCTGTAATTCCAGCAGTTCGGGAGGCCGAGGTGGGTGGATTGCTTGAGGTCTGGAGTTTGAGACCAGCCTGGCCAAAATGGCCAAAATACTACTAATACAAAAATACTATTAGTAGTATTTTTACAAATTTTAGTATTTTTCCCCGTGTTGGCCAGGCTGGTCTCGAACTCCTGACCTCAATTGATCCACTGGCCTCGACCTCCTAAAGTGCTGGGATTACAGGTGTGGGCCACTGCACCTGGCCTCAACAGTTTCCAAATGAGCCCCTACCAGATGTTCACTTCTTAAATTCTGTGCCTTTTCCCTTTATGCCAGATAAAATATTCCTATGACTATCATAGCAAATCTAGTGAACATTGAGGATTTGCTGACGGTAAATGGAATGTTGGTCAGTTCACATTGTTCTTTCTACTTAGCTTTTCGTCACTAAAGACAGATACTATGCAAGGAGCATTGTATAATTTCAAGTTTTTGTCATCTTTTCTAGTAGAAAATATATTTTTAACTATTAAAGTTTGATGCTAGATAAAATACGATTTTGCTGGAGACTGGGAAGAAAAATTACAACGGAGTCCTACTTTATGAAATTCCCATGTAGAAACACAGAAATACAATTATTCAAAGAAAAAACACACTTTCTTCTTATGTAAGAAAATTCCAATGTTACCACATTTTCACTTTTGGATTCCCTTAAAATAACTCCCTGGATATGTATATTTACTAACAGGTCCGGGTCTCAATATTCTAACTATAAGAAGCCATTGTCTTGAAGTTTGATACCACACAATTCATCATATTCATTGTTCATTAGATTCATTATATCACACAATTCATTAATTCACTATATTCATTCCCTCCCTTTTTCTCTATTCTCTCTCTATTTCTCCGCATGCTCTTCCAAAAAAGTGCTGGGGAAAGGTAGCTTGAATTGGGCTGAATCAACATTGCTTCTGAAGTTAACCTTTTAAGATCTTATTTGAGTTTTATTTATTGATTATTCACTTATTTTTCCTTGGCCTCTTTCATATGTAGATATTTAGACTGTTAAAATAATGGATCTTCCTTTGAGTACACATGCTACTCATAAATTTTACCAGTGCAGAAGCATAAGCAGAAAGTCTTTAACTCCAGCTTAACAGAGAAACAAATATGTAATTCTATATTGTACAGCTGATGTATATTTCACAAAATGGAGATGAAATGTTTTACTGTATTTTTCTTGAAGGGAAGGACATGGAAGCCAATTTGGAGACAAATAAAAATCTCCATTGTTTTAAAGTGCTCTTAATAAAATCGCATTGTTTGTATAAAGCATTGTGTTATTTGTTTATTTAGTTTTTGGGACAGGGTCTTGCTGTGTTGCCCAGGCTGGAGTGCAGTGGCATAATTGGGACCCACTGCAGCCTCAACCTCCTAGGCTCAAGCGATCCTCCTGCCTCAGCAACCTGAGTGGCCGGAACCATAGGCATACGCCATCATGCCCAGCTATTACAATTTTTTATTTGTTGTAGAGATGGGGTTTCTCTGTTTTTCAGGCAAGTCTCAAGCTCCTGGGCTCAAGGGATCCTCCCGCCTTGACCTCCCAAAGTGCTGAGATGACAGGCGTGAGCCACTGGCTTTGGCCTGAAATACTGTTTTAAATATTGCTACTGTCATTTGAAAGTCCTCTTTACAAAACCACATTATTTTAAAAAGAATTTCCTGGAATGATTTTGTAAATCTTTAAATACAATGCACCTAGCTAATAATTGTAAGTATTACATAATGACTTCGAAACATAGATCTGATTTAAAGGCCGACACCAAGTCTAGCCTTGTAAAAACACTGGCACGTGTGGATGGAGGTGGGAAGGGAAAGAGCTCCTAGATGAAAGTAACAGGATTATGGGTATTTTTTTCCCAAATTGTTTCAGTTATTACATCATCTTTTCAAAGAAAAAAAATCGCCAGGCGCAGTGGCTCATGCCTGTAGTCCCAGCACCTTTGGAGGCTTGAGGAGGGCGGGTCACCTGAGGTCAGGAGTTTGAGACTGGCCTGGCCATCATGGCGAAAACTCTGTCTCTACTAAAAATCTAAAAATTAGCCATGCATGATGCTCGTCTGTAATCCCAGCCACTTGGGAGGCTGAGGGACGAGAATTGCTTGAACCCGGGAGGCGGATGTTGCAGTGAGCTGAGATTGCGCCACTACACTCCCTCCTTGGTGACTTTGTCTCAAAACAAACAAATAAAAACAAAAATTAAAGAAAAAAGTCTTATTATAAGAAATATTAGCTATTTGACAAGGTGTTTTGACCCTAGAAGTGGGGGTCATTGTTATGAACACATCTTGGAATTTACAACGGAAATCATTGATCAATGTGGGCGAATTCAGTTTACAACGTTTTAGTATACCTGTGACAAATAGGGACAACGAAAGTGAGAGTCACCTGTGTTCACTGACTCAGAAAAATAATACAATAGGACCTGGTGGGTGGTGCAGCCCTGAAGACCACAGCCAGATTGATATGTGACAGCGGTATGCTACAGCCAGCTTGTACTAGCTTTTGAGAACCAATTGTTAAATTTCGGCAAATTGTTTGAGTTGGGTGCTAAGCCCAGAGATTGTTAAAAATTAAATATATAAACTTACAATTAAATAAATTATATTTAAAAAATTTAATAAAAACTTAAAATGTATTGCTTCCTAATTATTTTGCTGCATTTTACTACTATGTGTTACTCCTGAGGTCATGTGTATGTAGCTGTTTGGTGGAAATATACAATCGTGTGCTATCATACATGTTTTCCCAATTCTGTTCAGTGACATCACACTGGTAGCCTAAAATTGGCCCAGAAGGGAGTATTTCTACCAGGGAAATATGCAAAAGCTGCAAATCAGGGTTGCCTCCCCTCAACAACCCCTCCAGAGACAATTGTTAAAAATTTCTCAGCACCGCACTGTTCAAGGGCTCTGGGCTGACTTTGAGCAGTCCCATGACCTTGACCTCAACCGTCGGCCTGGGTCAACGGCCCACCCCACTCCAATACCCTTTGCTATCCAACCCCAGATAATTCTTTCAGCAAAGCCCACCCAAGGAGACTCCAGCCCCAAAGGGGGCAGAATGTCCACGAGAGGCCCTGATGCCACTCACCTGGTTTTTTACCAGTTGGGGCAGAGCTGGCACTAGGAGATTCATCACCTGCTGAGCTAAGGAGTTCACCAGGAGGGAGAGCCTTTCAGGGAGGAGAGCAGGAGAGACATTAGGAAGGGTCAGGGATGATCACCCCTCTATGTTGCAGAGGGGGAAACTGAGTCTAGGAGAGGAAGGAACCTGCCCAGGGTCACATGACTCATTAGAGATGGGGCTGGGGGTAGCCCCTGAGCCAGGTGTAGGTGGCGGCAAAGAGTTATCAGAAAGCAGCGGCTGGGTGTTGTCATTAGAACTTTGTGCCGGGCATTGGCATGACAGGAGCTGGCATTTCTCCCTGTCCTCCTGCTAAGAAGGGAAGGGGGACGCCATGTTTTTGGGCACTGCCATGCACCGTGCACTGTTCTTAAGTGCCTGATGGCTGTTGCCTGATCAGTTCTCTCACCACTGCCTGGAAGGTGTCATCACCTGCACTTTACAGGTAAGGAAGGTGAGACACAGGGCGGCCACTTGGCCACCATTGCCTGGAGAACAAATGAAGAAAATGCATCTCCTGACCCAAAGCCTTTGTTTTTACCCCTGGCTCCACCCACGCCTGTCTTGGGTGTTTGGAGGGGCTTCTAGGGCTCCCCCTTCAAGATCTGTCCCACCTCCTGGTGTCATGCTTGAAACCCACCAGCGTTGCTTCTGATCTTGATGTCCTGAACTTCCTTTGGCATCACAGATTCCCTGGAAGGAGCCCCAGACCAGGAATCAGGAGGGGATCAGTCCCTTTCTTTCTCTAGGCCTCAGCGTTCTCCATTTGTAAAATGGGGCAAGTCCACCGCCTGGCTTTCCTCCCGGGAAGGGTGTGAGCCCTGCTGGTGGCCGGTGACACTCACTTATGCAGCAGTTGGATACGCAGGCTCCCGTGGCTGGTGGCACAGTTGCTGAGGACCAGGCGAGTGGGGCCATGTGCACTGGTGTCCATGCGGATGATGGCTTCGGCCTCAGTCTCCATTTGGAACTCCACGATGGTCTTGACCAGGGGCCTGGGGGGTGGAGGCACCTTACCGTGTGAGCACCAGCCAAGCCCGGGCCGGAGCAAACCTGCCGTCCGTCTCTGTCCTCCAGCTCTCATCTCCTTCCTCAGTCTCCTTTGCTGGTTTCTCCTCATCTCCACCCAGCTGCACCCCAGCATGTCCCAGGATCAGTTTTCAGATTCCTTTCTGGTTTAAATCCCTTTCATCTGCTGACAGCTTCCAAACATTCACCCAGCCCAGGACGCCGATGTCTCATGGGCATCTCAAGTTCAGCACACGCAACGCTGGGCTGGCTCTTCCCCCAGACCTGCTCCTCGCATGGCCTTCCCTGTCTTGTTTACCGACCACTCCATCCTGCCAGTGGTGCAGGCAAAAGTCGTGGAGTCATCCGTGACTTCCCTCCGTCTCCACTCGCATACACACACATCCTCAGTTCACTGGGGTATCCTGATGTCCCCACCTACGTCCAACACATTTCCAGAACCCAGTCAAGTTCTCAGCACCTCTGTGCCCCAAACCCCGGTCTAAGTCATCGTCGTCTCCTCCTGAATTGTTGCAGCAGCTTTGGGATAGCCTTCCTGTCTCCATTCTTGCCCCTAGAAAGTCTTATTTTTTCCCCATAGCAGCTAGGAGTCTTTAAAAATGTTAAAGACATTTGACTCAGCAAAAGCCAAGTCCTTATCTTCTCCCACAAGGCCTTGCGTGATCTGGCCTCGGCTGCCAGCTGACCTCCTCTGCCAGCACGCCCCCCTCCCTCTTCCCCCTGTCTCTGCCATTCTTTGAGCAAGGCAGGCACGCTCCTGCTGCAGGGCCTTTGCCCTTGCTCTTCTCTCCACTCAGAGCTCTGTTTTTTTTTTTTTTTTTTTTTTTTTTTTGAGACGGAGTTTCGCTCTTCTTACCCAGGCTGGAGTGCAATGGCGCGATCTCGGCTCACCGCAACCTCCACCTCCTGGGTTCAGGCAATTCTCCTGCCTCAGCCTCCTGAGTAGCTGGGATTACAGGCACGCGCCACCATGCCCAGCTAATTTTTTTGTATTTTTAGTAGAGACGGGGTTTCACCATGTTGACCAGGATGGTCTCGATCTCTTGACCTTGTGATCCACCCGCCTCGGCCTCCCAAAGTGCTGGGATTACAGGCTTGAGCCATCGCACCCGGCCGGAGCTCTGTTTTCCAGACACCTGCATGTGGGCATGGGGGAGAGGGAATGAGCAGATGAGCCTGTCAAGCCTACTGTACTTGATGGCGGGGACACTCACGTGTTTAATCCGGCCACCATGTGCAGGGGGATCCTGACTAGCAGCTCTTGGTCATTGGCCGAGGGCTTCACCTGCAGCTGGAGGATGTTAGCTGTGGTGACCTTCAGCCTGGACGGGAATCAGGAGCGATCAGAATCATGCCTTCTCCTCATTGTTCCCCAGCCTACTCCCTCTCTTTCCCATCTCCTTGGGGTACTTGGGCAGCAGTGGGACCCTAGTCCTGTCCAGTTCTCTCCAGACGGTCTTGCCTCCATCCTTCCCTCCATCCCGCTCACCGCACTGTCATGGTGCCTTCTCTTCTAGGTGGTGAATACCAGCTCCTTGAGCTGACTCATAAGACCCTCTGTGGCCTGACCCTGCTGATCCCTTACTCCTTGCCTTGAGGTTTGAGCTTCAGCCATTCTGACTGACTGTCATTCCTTCATGCCTTTGCCCAGGCTGATTCCTCTACCTGGATGCCATTGCTTCTTGTCTCCTGGTGACCATTGAGTTGTCGGCTCAACTGTCACCTCCAGGGAGAAGCATCACCTCATCCCTTCCCTTGCTCTGAGTTTTCTTTTCTTTTTTTTTTTTTTTTAAGACAGAGTCTCACTCTATAGCCCAGACTGGAGTGCAGTGGCGTGATCTTGGCTCACTGCCACCTCTGCCTCCCGGGTTCAAGTGATTCTTCTGCCTCAGCCTCCCTAGCAGCTGGGATTATAGGCACCCACCAGCATACCAGGCTAATCTTTGCATTTTTAGTAGAGACAGGGTTCTACCATGTTGACCAGGCTGGTCTCGAACCCCTAACCTTAGGTGATCCAACTACCTTGGCCTCCCAAAGTGCTGGGATTACAGGCGTGAGCCACCATGCCTGGCGTTGCTCTGGGGTTGTTGTCTTAGGGTTCCTGCGTCATTGTATTACGGTTCTTGTTAACTATTCTGGGAGCTTCTGGAGGGAGAGGCTTTGTTTGATCCATTCTTTGTGATCTGACATAAGTCGATGCTTGCAGACTGGCTGACTGAGCATGCAGAGTGTGTCCTGGGCAGAGGTGCGGGCAGGGGCTAGCTCCTGGTGTGGTCCCACTCCACTCACCAGATGATGTGCTTCAGGACGGTGTTCACCAGGCTGCCCAGCACAGGGATGCCCCCAGCTGGCTTCTCCCGTATGGCACTGAGCAGCGGCAGCTGCTGCAGGATGCTGGTGGCATGGTGATCCTTCAGCTGCTGTGTCAGCTCTGGAGGCAGACCCCAGAAATTAGGGCCCAGGAGGAGGGGCAAGAAGGAAGGCTCGCTGGGGGCTCGGGGCTGGGGCGAGGTATCACTCGGGTCTCCCTGAGATGAGGCGAGGGTGCAGCCATCTCTACTGTGGTGGAGGTCAGGACCAGCTTGCCAGTCCCCACAGTGTAGATGTAGCCTTGAAGATAAGTGGCCCAAATGGGTCGTTTTCACATCGAGAGTGAGGCTGGGGTCGTTCACATGCCTAAGCATTGCCAGCCTCTGTGGGGAGCGTCAGCCACTACACACAGCACCTGGACCTACACTCGTCCCTCACAGCCAGTGGCAAGCACTTCCAGGGCCAAGAGGCAGGGAACCCACAACGCCCTGCTTGGGGCTGTTTTGCTGCCAAAGCACACTTGTTCACAATTGTCTGGCATCCATATTCTACGGGTGTATGGGCCAAAGGCCTCAGGTGCTGAGCAGAGGAAGGAGGGGTCAGGACAGAGGCATACGGGTGAGGAGCCCTGGATTCTGGTCCCAGCCATGAGCAGCTGGAGCCCATCTGGCTCCTGTGCAGAGCAGGTTAGAGGTGCCAGAGAGCTGACGCCCCAGGAGCAGACCTCAGCCAGTGATTGGTGAGAGTTGGTGTATCAATACCTCAGCTCCGTCACCCCTCAGTCAGGATAGCTCAAATGTGTGTCCCTCACTGTGTTTCAGAGCTCCTGTGTTATAGCCTCTCGGCTGCAAATCCACCCACTTTGCCTATTGTGGTAACGGAGCTGGGCCCTGTGAATATTTCTTCTTTGCCGTTTGGCACAATGTTAAGCCTTTTCAGTGGAGGCTCTGGAGGGGTGTGGGGAAGGAAGGGGCTTCCCCTCATGGCGCTGGTGTGCTCCTCTTACCAGGTTCCTATGGTGCCACTGCCCAGTGGCTTTTGCTGAGTGAGTTCTGTGGGCACCCTGGCTAGCTTCTAGGTGGTTTCCCAGAGATAGCTTCCCCGTGAGTTAACAGCAGGCCCCCTCCTCCAGGGGCAGCTTCCCAGAGACTTTCACTGGCTCCCTGGCAGGTAGTTCTCTGCCCACTAGCCTCAGTTTGCCAACTGTGGCCCAGCTCTGGCCTGGGACAAGCCAGCAAGCTTTTCAACCACAAGCTGGGCTTCAACCACACCCTCTGCAATGAGGGCTGGGGAGGATTCTTTGCCTGTAAGCTTGCTCTGTCCTTGGCTACCCCTTTCATCCCTAGGGTATCCTTTAGAGCTCGCTCTCTCTTCCCTCTTAGCCAGTTCCCCGTTCCTCCAATCTCCTGGTAATACTTCTTTGCATTAAACTTACCTGTTGGGATGACTGTGTGGTTTCTGTCTTCTGATTGGCCCTAAAAGATGCAGTTGCTAGGCAGGACTGAACTCCAGTCCCCGCAGTGGTACCTGGCTTGGAAATGCTTGGGATGCTTTCCCTTCCCTGCCTTGCCCCCCCATACTCCTGTAGGTGTTTCTGGGATTACCGTCAAAACCAACCACTTGCATACAAGTCCTTTTAGGAGAGCCCAAAGCATGATTATTCATCTCTAAGCTCCTTCCGGCTGCAATTTCACAGGCTTGAGCTTCATAGTCTGGACCCAGCCACCTCTGCCTCCCTCCAGCTTCCCAGAGCTCGCTGCTTCCTGACCTTACTTGGGACTCCATCCTCTGGCTACAGAGCCTGTTGGTTCCGCAGGACCTGCCCCTGCCCCTGTGGCCATGACCCAGGCCCTAGTCCCCTGAATGCAGAGGTCTGGTCCTCTGAGTGCTCAGGTGGCTCTCCAGAGCTGAGAGCTGAGTCCCCTCTACAGGGATGGCACTTTAGAGCAGTGGTTCTCCATTGGGGTGATTTCGTCCCCTAAGAGACGTTTGCCAATGTCTGGGGACCTTTTTGGTTGTCACAGTTGGGTTAAGGAGGCTGTTAAGCATCCTACATGCCCAGGACACCCCCCACAATAACAGCTGTTTGGTCCACAGCATCAGAAGTGCTGAGTTGAGAAGTGTGGTCACAGCATCCATAAAGCTCTAGTTAATTCCAGCAACCCAGTGAGGAGAGGTAGGCCCTCTTATCTGTGTCCCAAGGAGGAAGCCGAGGCCCAGGGACGGGCCCAGTGGCCCCGAGCTGGAGAGTGAGACATTGTGCCTGGGACCCAGGCCGCCACACTCACAGTCAAGGGTCTCTGCTGTGGGGACAAAGGAACACGCTAGGTTAACTAAGAGGGGGTACTCTGAGGATGGGATTTTAGGTGAGGGCAGGGGGAGGGGCAGGTGCACCACTGCATTCAGTGGCCACACGCCCCTTCTGCAGGCTGTGGAAGCTCAGGGTTTTGGAACTGTGGAATTTAAGAAGGGAATCTTGGAATCGTGGACTCTTGAGATCACAGACACTCGAGACCTTTACAACTCACTCATGTTCACCCAAGTCCTGGGGTTTCCGCCATGCCTTGCACGGCCCCTGTGATGAGGAGCTCTCTCTCTCCATTGGGAAGCTGCTCCACCTACCCCCTTGTCTTAGGGCGGCCAGGTCCGGAGGGCCAAAACTTACTTTCTTTGACGACTTTTGGACCGAGGATGAGAAGTCCAGTGGGGCTGAGGGTGGCTTGGATCAAGGTGGCTGCCAGCAAACCACAGAGAAGGGTGAAGGTCCACGGGCCGGCCATCTTCCCAGGCGTCAGAGAGCAGCAAGTGGCGGGTGCCAGACCAGACCTGGGGTGAGCACAGAGAGCTCTGAGGAAGTTCCCAGAACATACTCTGTTCTCTCTGGGTCTGTGCCTTTGCTCTTGCTCTCCCTGCTTCCTGGACCTCCCATAGCTCCCTGATGAACTCCTATTCATCCTTTAAAACCCTGCCAAGATTTTTCACTTTCCCTGTAAAGCTTCCCCTGCCCTGCAGACAGGGATCCTGGACCACACTTGGAGAAACGCTGTCCTGGCGCCCAGGACATGAAGGTTGGAGGCAGGAAGGAAACGAGGAGCCGAGTAGGACTCAACGTTGTGAAAAAGCTGTTTGTTTAATCCACGATACTAGGGGAGCTGGGGAGGGGCTGAGTGGCTCCTTGGAACCAGGGAAAAAAGGGCAGAGAGAGAGAGACAGAGAGAGAGAGAGAGAGAGAGAGAGAAAGAGAGAGAGAGAGAGAGCGCCAACCTGTGGCCCGTGCTGGGGACAGGAGATTGGAGATATTCTAGCCCCTTGGCTGCTCTGTCCCCTCCCTCCACAGGGGTGAGGCATCAACACCTGTAACCCAGTCCCAGGCTCTCCAGCTCGCACCCCGGCTTTGCCTGCCAGCCCGCCATGGAAGCTCCTGCCCTGTGTACTGTCCTGCTTGGAGGGAGCGGAGATGCTGACCCAGCGATCTGAGCCGTTGCTTGGTTTAGCATGTGGGTTTCTTAACCGTATGCGTGTCGTCAGGCCTGAGGGCCTCTTCCATCCTTGTCGAGGGGAGTGCTAACCTTCTCTCCTTTCCTACAACACAGCCTGTGGCTTTCTTGTTGCCAAAGACAAATGTGGCATCCAGATGACAGGTCTCCTGTGCCATGGAGCAGTGTGAGCTCTTCCGAGGCCCTTGCAATAATGAGTCAGCCTCTGCCTCCCTGACCAGCCTGTGAGCTCTGGGAGGGAGGGCTGGGTCTGCCTGCTCCCTGCTGTGTCCCTGACATCCAGCATAATGCTTGGCACACAGCAGGTGCTTAATAAATGGCCGCATGAATAAATGCAGAGCCCGCGGAAGCCCTGAAAGTATTGGGAAGCTGAGCCTGCTAAGCTGAGCGGGTTAGTGTTAGGGGGCCTGGGGGTGGAGGGGAAAGTCCCACTGGCTCGGCAGCCGGATGGACCCTGGTTGGAGGCCGCTGCCACCACTTGCTCTGTGATCTTTGACAAATGACTTTCTGTTTCTGAGCCTCCATTTTCTCATCTGTAAAATGAGGAATAATTATAGTACTTAAGTAGCAGACTTTTGGGGAAGATTAAACGAGACAGTCTATTCGTGACATACTCAAGCGTTCAGCACGTGGTAGCTTCCATCACGATTATGATAGCTGTTATCACTAAGATTGGAGTCAGAAGGAGGCATCGTGCAGCCAAAGCCAGAGACAGGTGACACCCCCGCAGCCAGGTGCCCCTGCAGCCCCACCCCATATTTTTCTTGCGAACACCTTGACCCTGTCTGTCCTCCAATCTCTCTACACACTGCTCTGTGCTCTTCAGGTCAGAGGAAGCAGGACCCACGAGGATGAGAGCATCCCCGTTTCCCTCCTGTGGAAAAGCCTCTCCTCCCCAGATCCAGGCGCCGCACGCACCCCACCATCTGGCACCTCCTCTCCTGGCCTTTGCTGATGCTCGTTCCCCTTTGTGGAATGTCTTTCTCTTTTCCTTTGCCCACCCACCCTCTACTTGGCTTTGCAACCAACAGGTCGCGCAGGACTCGGCTGGCCCCATCCCTTCGTCACCACTCGTTGGTCCTCTGAGCAAGGGAGCTGGGTACCTTTCTTCACCTGGCTCTGATCCTCAGTGGATCCCGACTCACCCAGGGCCCTTCTGGGGGAGGCAAGCCTCCCCTGGGCTCCTGACCTGACCCCAACAGGTATCTCTAGCTCGGAACCTTCCTGGAAACGTAGGCTTTCAGCCCTTCCCTGCTTTTACCTGGGCACGTTGGAGTCCTCGGCCCGCTCCTCTCCTCTCCCAGGCAGTGGGTCTGGAAGTCCAACCTTATATCCTGCACACCCCAGCACAGGCTTTGTCTTTGGGCAGAGGCCTCAGACCAGGCCGAGGTCTCCAAGGTAAATATTTGTGGCTTCAGGTGAACCACAGCCCCGCCTGGAGGCAACCTTGGGACTCCAGCTTCCTGAGGCTTGGAGAAAGGAAGGTCCAGGCTGAGAAAAGCACAGTGCATATGGCAGAGTAAATGTGAGTGGCTGCTGCTGTTAATATTATTAGTGCTCATAACAGGATGAGCCTTTGCAGAGGGGTTACAGCAATTGTTCAGTCCAGATAATCAACTTGGGAAAAGGAGGGAGTAGCCTTGCTCCTAAATGTGTCCGGGATACACATCTCCATCAATTAATTCACCCAAGAGAATAGATTTGAATCCTTTTTTTGCCACTGCTTTGCTGTGTGCCCTTGGGCAAGGTACTTCACCTCTCTGGGCCCCACTGACCTCATCTATAGTATGGGGATAATAGTAGCTCCTCCTCAGAGGTTGCTAAAAGCATGAGCTGAAGTGCACGCCTATACAGTGCTTAGCACGAGCTTTCTTTTCACTCATTCATTCATTCATTCATTCATTCCACAGCAATTAGAACCCACTCTACCTTGTCTGCATCTTTAGGAGTCTCCGTGAGCACTTGTGGACTGAAAGAATAAGGAGGCATGACCATGAACCCAAAGGACAAATGTCCAAGCCCAGCAGGACCCTGTCATCCACCACCTGGGCCCCAGCCTTGGCTCATGCAGCCTGCACAGTCACCCAGAGGTGTCAGCAGCATTGATGTTACAGAGGGCACCTGAGGCTCAGAGAGGTGAGTGACTGGCTCAAGGTCACAGGACCAGGGCTTTCAGCTTTGGGACCTGAGCCTGATCATCCAGTCCAGAACGCACCCTCTTAATGGCCACACCGTCCTTCCCCAGAGACTTCAACTTAGCATTAGAGGCGGTGGTGACACGGACATGGCCCCTTGATGTCCTCTGGGCATTATCCTTGCTACCCAGTTTTGGTCTAGAAGCATGGAACTGTGGTTTAGAGCTGGGATGGCCATTGTTGAATCCTGTCTCCATCTGCAGGGGACAAGGCGGGGGCAGCAGTCTCCTGAGGTCACGAAGTATGTAGCCAGGCCCTGGCTGCCTCATCGTCCTGCTTTTTGTCAAGAAGAACAAGGCGAAGAGCATTTGCTGTCCTGCCATGTTTGTCAACACACCAGCGCCCTGAGTACCTGAAGGTGACATGTTTTGGGAGCCAGGAGAATTCCCAGGAGGATCCTGCCAATCCCTTGGGCACACCTCCAGAGAGGCAAATCCCCTGCTTGGCTTCCCAGCTGGCCATGCCCGTTGCCCATGGACAATGCCCCTCTGTGGGGTGCTGGGGCCCAGTGCCAGGGCCTGGGCCAGCATCAGCTCCTGCTTCCTGCCATGTGCTGGAACAGCAAGGCCCGCTCCGCCTCTGCAGGCCCACGGCCCAGACCCCGCACCTGCCCTCAGTACCGCGTGGCCCTCCTCAGCCTGCTGGGGCCTCTTGGCCTTGGCTTCACTCTCCTCAGCGCCCAGGCCTTTGCTTGTGCCATGTCCTCTTTCTGGAGTACCCCCTCCACCCCCCTGAAAACCCAGCCGTGCCCTGTCTGGGAAGAAGTGCAGGGGGCGGAGGAAGCCAGCGGAGGCTGATGGACACGACTGTGATCCCTGCTTCTGTGCTGACGGTTGTCAGCCTCGGGAAACTGCTTCTTTTTTGCGAGACTGTGGGACTATTTTCAGGGTCTTGTAAGGTCGTGAGAAATGCTTGGAACATCAGATAATTTGGAGAGTGATAAATGCTACTGTTGTTGAGATATTAAGACCATTGACCTTCAAGGCCCAATTCTGGCCAGCAATACCCAGTGGTGCGTGGTGGCTCACGCCTGTAATCCCAGCACTTTGGGAGGCCGGCAGCGGTGGCTCACCTGATGTCAGGAGTTTGGGATCAGACTCGTCAACATGGTGAAACCCCACCTCTACTAAAAATACAAAAATATTACCTGGGCATGATGGCACACACCTGTAGTCCCAGCTACTGGGGAGGCTGAGGCAGGAGAAACGCTTGAACCCAGGAGGCAGAGGTTGCAGTGAGCTGAGATGGCGCCACTTCACTCCCACCCGGGCAAGAGTGAGACTCCATCTCACACACACACAAACGAAGGTGACGTCCGCATAAAGCCGCCTGACCGCTACTCCACCTGGCCAGATGGCCTCCTCCCGGTGTGTTTGGCTGCTGGCCACCTTTCAGCCCGCACATCCCTCCACTTTCCCCCTCCCTCCTCGCGTTCTCACCCCAGGGCCTTCTCCCAGGAGCACTCTCCTTCCAGCTCTTGTTCTGGTTTCTTCTCATTCACCAAGTCTTAGCTTCAGCGTTGCCCCCTGGGGGGACAGGGGACCACCCTGTCTAAGGTAGGGCTCTTTTGGCTGCATGCTGAGGGCGTCCTCACTAGCAGTTGCTGGAACTGGGTCTGAAGACTCGAGTGTTGTTCTAGGCACCATGATTTCTCAGGTGCTGTATACCGAGGAGAGGGACTGGACCACAGCTCGAGCGGGTGGCCGAAAACCAGCTGCACAGCTCCTGGGTTTCCCCTGCAGGGGATCCTGACCCAGCGTAAGGCAGTAAAAGGGCCAAGAGGGAACAGAAGATCTGCGGAGATGTTTCCTGGGAGACAGCTATGGGCCCTCCTCCTTGTCACTGCCTTTGGGCTGATTTTGGAGGAGTCAGTTCTTTTCTCTGAGCCTCAGTCTCCCCAGCTATAGAATAAGGATGTTGGGCTCCACGATGCTGTGGCCAGGCTGGCTCTGATGACCTTTGTTTACAGCCGAGGGAGCTCAGTACTTATGCAGTGAGGACTGGGCTGTTGCTGAGGTCAGGTATGTTGTTAGGAAGCTCATCCCCATTGAGCCAGGGTCAGCGGAGGTTCTGCCCAGGGAACTGCCT